GACGAAATTCACATACAAGTGTGTCCAAACAGTAAATGTTGAGTGTTGAGGAAAAGTGAGTCAGGCTTGAGAGCCTGACTGGACCTGAAAATTAAGTACAATATCGAATCTAGGAAAACCATCTAACAATCACTGAACTAAGTGAGTGTCCAGTTCTTTTAATTTCATGACAAGAGCTATTCAAGATACAATGATGAAAAACAGAAAAGGTAAGAAATGCAAACACTATGGAAATATAAAGTTATCTTCACAGTGTCTAAGGCTGCATATATGCTGAAAAATACTGACAGCTGGTCTGAGAATCACTCCTTGCTGTCACCACATTTCAGATACTATTTATCCTAAAAGGAAACTATAACATCTAATAAAATGTAGTTAATAAACTACAAAATTTCCTGTATACAATAACATCAGTGTTTTAAAACATATTCAATCTGATTAAAAATGGAGAACTTATATATTCTTTGGGTTTATTCTAAATAAACCAATAGTTTTAGTTTGTTTATTTTATTTAGGAATTGTTTAGTTTATTTAGGAATAGTTTATAGGAATGAATTCTCACCTTATTTTCTCAAACCTTGAAAAGTTATAAATTGAAAAATACAGTTCTACATCTTCAAAGACAAGGAGTAATGAATTTTTCCTACTCAAGGATGAAAACATTATAGAGTTAGAGAGTTTAAAGAGGCTTGAGATTTTGGTATGCATTACAAGATAATGATCTTAAAGCTGCAGAGTTAAAATACTTTCTGTAAATGGAGTTCTTAATTGGTATAAACAAAAAAAAAGCCCAGAGTCAGATATTGAGGAAAATGCTGAGAGATCAGAGAGAAGAAGGAAGAAGCCAAAGCCAGCTTTCCCTCATTAGTTTCCCAGGGGAAAAGAGAGTTCCTGTTTCTTCCTGCTTATATCCTCTCTTTGCCCAATCATCTCACTTCTTGTCTCTGCCCAGCCATCTCACTTCCTGTTTCTGCCCAGCTATCTCACTTCTTATCTGTCTGTACAGACCTCCTGACCTCTATGGTTAACTAGTGGCAAGCTCTGTCCTTTAATCTTCAGACAAGCTTTATTTGTACAAGCAAATTATCACCACAGCATGTATTTGGATAGACCAATAATAGAAGAAAAGTAAATGTTCGTGTTTTATTAATCTGTTGAGATATGACTTTTTTCAGTGACCAAAGATGATAAAAGGCATACATAATGGGGATCTGAAGATATTAGGCAGGGCACTGTGTCTACATATGGAACAGGAACTCTTTTACCAATGACGTACAGTCCTCTGAAATGTCAGGCAAACTAAGAAACAATTTTAAAGAAAGGAAAGGGAGGGAAACACAACCTGAAATGAACAAGCTAGAGAATTGAAGATTTGGTTATTTGTCACTGACAAACAACATGGGGGCCAATACTGTGGGGAAGCTGGAGTATTGACTGACTTCTGATCCAACACATCTCTATGTATGAGATGAGTAAAAAGGAAAGCAAGGGGATTATCCACTTAAGGGAGCACTGGGCCCATCAAGGGTCTCCTGACAATGCAGCTGTGCTGGAGGATGGCCTGAACACAGAGAAGACCAATAAAGAAATGAGTGGGAAGACCAGAATTCCAACCGAGAAAATGGAGGGGGAGAAACAGCCGCAGCCAGTTTAATTATCCATATTTGTGTTGTCTGTCATTATCCTGAGGCTGTATTTCCCTATTTCCTTGGATGGGAAATCAGACTTGATGGCAAACCCCTAGCACTTGGAAAGCTGAGGCAGGAAGATTATGACAAGTTTAAGATCATTCTGGGCTACATAGCTGGTACCATGTCATCCAGGACTACATAGTGGTACCTTGTCTCAGAAAAACAAACAAAAACCAAAACCAAATAAGCAAACAAAAACAACAACAAAAAACTGTGAGAACAAGAATTAAGATAGTTTTTGTTACCTCTCTCTCTCTCTCTCTCTCTCTCTCTCTCTCTCTCTCTGTGTGTGTGTGTGTGTGTGTGTGTGTGTGTGTGTGTGTGTGTGTAAGATAACACAGAAACACCCAGATATGAAAAATTAGCTTTCCAAATATCTGAGCTACTAACATCAATTCTTCCTTTTATGATACTTTAATCCTTAGGTGGGTGAGATGGCTCAGCAGGTAAAAGTGCTGGTCACCAAGGCTGATGACCCGAGTTCCATTCCCAGGACTCATGTGGTAGAAGGAGAAAAATGACTCCTGGTTGTCCCATGACCTTCATAGGAACAATGTGGCATGAATGTGCATACACACACACACACACACACACACACACACACACACACAATAAATGTGTATATTCTTTTGTTAAAGACAGAGAGAGAGAGAGAGAGAGAGAGAGAGAGAGAGAGAGAGTTTTTAGCTTATTCCTTCTACCTAGAAATCACAGAACCCATTTAAAGGTAGAAGGGCATCCATGGCGCTGAACAAATGTCCACAGTGGCTACCACTGTTAGAGATGATTTGGAAGCTAAGTAGTTCAGAACCCTCTAGGTGCTAAACTATCACATCTCAGATTTGTTCCTCAGAAATATACTGTCAAATTTACTTTTGTGTTGCTATGATATTAACCAAAGCAACTTATAAAAGACATTTAATTTGGCTTATGGTTTTAGAGGGTTAGAGTCCGTGGTGACAAAGGATCAGATCAGATCAAAGGAACAGCTGAGAACTCATATCTTGATCATAACCATAAAGCAGAGAGAGAGAGAGAGTTAACAGGGAATGGTGTGGACTTTTGAATCCTCAAACCCCACACACAGATAGACCTTCTCCAACAAGGCCACACCTGATGGTCCCTCCCAAACAATTCCCAAATAGGAACCAAGCATTCAAATATATGATCCTATGGGAGCCATTCTCATTCAAACCACTACAACCAGGTATGAAAAACTCTTAGTTGCAAACCCTCCTTCTATAAATTGAGAAACACACAGGCTAACTGTGAGAATGTTAGTAATTTTACATCCAAATGTCAATGTGGAATTAATCTGTGTGTGCACATGTGAGGTGTGTGTGTGTGTGTGTGTGTGTGTGTGTGTGTGTGTGTGTGTGTGTGTGTGTGTAAATCAGAGAATAATCATGGGTTTCAGTCCTTAGGGATTGTCTATTTGTTATTTTTACAGACAGAGTTTCTCATTAGCCTAGGATTAAAAACCCAGAAAAACTAAAAACTGATGAGAACAGTATCCAATTTATGGAGTTAGGAGAATAACAGTAAGAATGAAGTTAGGAATTAGGTAGCAGGCTGGAAATATAGCACAATGGTAGGGTACATGCTTAGCATGCATAAGGCTCCATGTTTGACCACCAATACACCAAAAAAATGCAAAAAGTAAGAAGGAAATAAAATAAATTATGAAATAAAAAACTGACAGACTAAATGGCACATGTACACAGAAACATCAAAACAAACAAAAATCTGTTCTTTGACAATATTAATAAAAATATATACACAAGCCGTACTTCCTAAGAAAATTTGGATAAGATGAAATAATACAAAGAATAAAAGAAGATGTATATGTATAGCTGCTGAGAGATTAGAAAGCTAAAGGGATATTATAAATAACTATGTGCTAATAACTATAGTAATTAATAAAATGGTCAAATTCTTTGGATAAAAGCTCATATATTAAAAAGGAGTCAAAAAGAAACCAAAAAGGGCTGGGGAGATAGCTTACTGGGTCAGGTGCTTGCCACCAAATCTAAATGACCAGAGTTCCATCCTTAGGACTCACATGGTGTAAGGAGAGAACTGAACCACCTGGTAGGTAGCTCTCTGATCTCAAGCACACCATTGCACACCCAAGGCACCCTCCCAATAAAGAAATAAATTTAATTAAAGAGAGACAGAAAACCTGAGTGGTCTACCAGTAATGGGAAAGAAATGTTAAAAGTCAACCCCACAACTCCGCAGTGGCCTAGTTTTACTGATTCAAACAAAAAACATCGAAGTATCTTCCAATTCATTTCACTATTTTTTTCCATTTGCTCTATATGTTCCATTTAATCTCTGTGGATAGCAATTGTATTTCCCAACCATTCCAGGTGTGCTTATGAGCCATCCTTTCTTACCTTATTTCCCACATATCATGGTCCACTAATATTCATATCTGATATGCACACTTCTACCAATCCTTTGCTACACTAAGGCCAGCACTCTTCCCAATACATCTGTACCCCCAGCACCCAAACAAACAAACAGAATAAAACAAAATACCCCAATTGGATTGACACAGTATTGCAACTATATCCTAAGACTTTAGGACTGCAATGTGGCCTTACTGAGTTAGGGTCTCCTCTTGTGAGATCCCCTACACATCCTACCTTCATTACGGTGATTTTCCAGTTGATGTCTAAGTAAGTTATCTCAAAAGTATAGATTATTCTGTCCAATTTATAGTTTTAATTCTGTGCCTAAAATAAATAATCAGTAACTATTTGAGGAGTGGATAAATTAATGAGTAAAAGTTTAGATGAGTAAATAAAAATTCACTAAATTCCACAACAGAAATGTCTGAAATATATTATTTTTTCATCATCTTATTCTGCTTTGAAACTCCCCCATTGTAGTCTGCCCCTGCCACCTTGATCTAGTTTAAGATGATATAATTTCAGGCTATGGTAAAATTCTTTTTCACACATTTTCATTTCCTTCACACTGACTAAAAATACTTCACACAAAAGCAAAACCAAAGATACTTGAGGTTAATTCACTTCTACTCTTCTAGAATGTTTCTTTCCTTTGATACTTTAAAAAATGATCAATTTTGAATTTAAAAAGTTGGATACTTTTAAAACAGTGAACCATTTTGAATTTAAAAATATCACTGGATTCTATTTTACGGAAAAAAAAAACCTATAATTCTTTGGAGCAGCTCAATTAATTTTTGCTGAATGAATGAAGGATTAAAGGTACAAAAGACTCATATTTTATTGTTCTTATATTCTTTCATTTGTTTTTGAAGGCGTTTGACTGGCCAATAGAAGGTCTACTGGTGCCAAACAGCCCTCCCATGAAGAGGCCAGCTTCTAAGACACCAGAGCAGTGTGCCCCTATGAGACTCCGAATTCTGAGGAATGGAGATAAGAAAAACAGCAAATCCCTCGTTATGGGCCCAGACATCTTACCAGGATGGAAATCACAGTAAGAGCAACAACTCATTGACACTCACCTTTGAGTACACTCTCCAGGTTCTGTAGCTGTGAGTCTTTGGCTAGAATGATTTCTGGAGGGATTATATATGTATTTACAAAAGGGTCCTATTTGAAAATGAAACAGACACATGATTTTATTTAGTTTCTAAGTCAGGAGCTTATACTGATCTCTTCTGTGTTAGTACACACACAAATAGAAGAGTTTGAAGGGTGTCGTGGCTGCAATTTATACAGTTCTCTCTCTGTTTTCAATTAGTACTTTAGTTCAAGTTTTACTAGTGTATGTAGACACAAGTGTAGTGGCATCTTGTTTAACCAGTGGATTTGCGATGGTGGCTGCATCCTAGGGTCGTGTCTTCAGGTGTGCCACGTGACCCCTTTTAAGGAAGAAGAGGGACTGGCTCTCTCTCTCTTGGGTTGCGGTTAGAGCATTCAGAAGGGCACAGACCACATCTTTAGGAGAGAGAACCAACATGCTTGGTAAATTTAGCTTTTGAATTGCTCAATGATTATTGTCAATAATTTTCTGGTATTTTTGGGTTATTTAAGACACACAGTACTAGGGAAGCATTGATTTGTAGTCGAAAGTTACCCTGCACATAAAACCATCCCAAACATCCTGTATGTCTCTACCACTGGAGACAAGTCACCTGCCGTATGTTTCTATTTTATGGATTGTAGAAGAGCTTTGATGGGAAGAATGAGTTAAACACATTGTTTCTCATATAATTACCGGCAATGTTACCTCTTGACCTTTCTTCTGGGATATTTAGGCTATCTGAGGCTGCCGATAATAGTTTAATATTACTCTCTTCACATCGATTAAATATACTTCATACATCACTGAACAATGAGTAACATTCAGATTGGCTGTCCACTGAACTGCCTGTAAAGATGATAAAGTAAAAAATTAATCTTCAAAGTAAAGTCAAGCCTGAAATTGAAATCTTTGACGCATACATCTCATAATTAGCTCATTCTGCTCGATGTAAGATGTGAGGGTAATGCCCTTAAAGAGAGCATGGCTTTTCTCTAAATGCTCGAAATTAACACTTCCTTTCTATCCCTCTCTACATTTATGCTTTTCCCCCCTATTTTGTACCTTTAATTGTAATTATATATTATACACAGATAGCATCCTATCATCTTAGTGTTTAAAGTGCTTAGCTCAGTCAAGGAATTCAAAAGTATTTTGAGAGACTGGCAAATTTGAACAAATATCTTGGCAGAGAGCGTGTGAAATGCCCATTGTCTGAAATGCTTTGCTCTTAACTAGCATGAAATGTATTTAATTTTTTAAAGTTGAGCTATTGTGATTATGTATGTATGTATGTATGTATGTATGTATGTATGTATGTATGTATGATGTTTGTATGAATGTGTGAATTGCATTCTGGAGTAATGATGGGAATCCATTTTAGCACCATCCTGCTCTGGCCACAAGCTGTGCTTCAGCTGTGTAACAACTCACTGTGGACGATTTCGAGGGTTTGCTATTGGTGTTGGTTCCACCATCTACGAAGCTTGAGGAAGACAGCCCCGGCCTCTCGGCCTCTCTGTGTCATGATCACCTGCTGTGCGGTTGCACACTTCAGTATGCCTGCTGCCTGCCGGGTCACATCAAGTATCAAAGCATTAGAAGGCCACTTTAGCACCACCATTAAAGGCCTACAGGGAGCGCCACAGCAGCGCTCCTGAATGATTAGCCATGTTTGAACCATTTTTCATTTTCTAAGATACAGTGATTATAAAACTACACAAAACAGCTCTCTGACTTCAAAATCGGAATGAAGATACATTCCGATCAAATGTTTGTTTTCCGGTCATCATTGTTTAAAATTTGTTTAGGGTTAGATTCAAAATAGAATCATTAAGTAAATAAAACATTACAGAGAAAAAATGAATGTCATCTTTAAGTTTTTTAATTTACATTTTAGAGTGTCCAACACTGTGGGAAAAGGATCAGAATATTGCAGATTTTCTTTTACAAATCCTTCACAGCATACAGGTTTCTTTAGCAAGCCATATCATTCAGTATACAGTTTGAAGTTTTACACTTAATTATGAAATATGAAGTTTAATATTTAATTGTGTTAAAATTTGAAGTTTTATATTTTAAAGAAAGGCAGATTATTGGCAGCAAATCATTATAAGTTAAGCTCTCCTCACTTTTCCACATGTTAGCGTATGCTATACCTAGTCAAAAATGTCAATAACATGCACATGCCTTGAATTGTATGTTGCAGAACTGTTAATGCTGAAAGGAAGGAGAAAAGCCATGCTGCAAACTATTCTGAAACAGAAAGAAACCAGATTGAATTTCACCACCTTTTGGAGAGGTAAATGTTTACTATTTGAAATGCAAATGTGCTTTGCATTTGAATGCTCACGCCTAACAGAGAGCACACAAAACATTTCTATATACAAGTCATAAATATAATGTCTGCTGACATTTTTAATCGGATGTTGTGATAGGAGGTCAAAGCTAATTTATAAAACCTCCCTCCAAAATGCAAAATTGGAAAACTCCAGAAACCCCAAAACCAGAATAACAGAGGCCTAGCATTTGAATCTAGATAATCAGACTCCAGAAGATACATTCATTACAAGGTGTTAGAAGTCAGTTGTTTTCTGCTCCACACTTTGATTCTGGCCAGCAAGGATGCTGCAAAGAGAAAGGAGTGTACAGAAAACTGCTTGTCTCAGCCCTCTGCAGCCTACCTGGAAGGGCCAAATTCAGCTCTAAAACTAGTGTTTCAAAACAGGATAAAGGATAAAGAAAGATTAGTTAGCCACCCATTTTCCCTTTCCTCTGTGGCCCTTCTGTGAGTCCGGCAACAAAGGCTGATTTACCATGGACTTCACCGTAACCACACGGAGGTGCAAGGACATCAGTCCAGGGAAATGAGAAGGCATTGCATTAGCCCTTTTGTTATCAGTCAAATAGAAGCAGGGCAATTCCACCCACTGCTGTGAGTGAGGGACTTCACTCTGTACACTGCTCCATCAAATGGAGCATGAGACGATGTACTTCTTACTGGCTTATTTCCTTTCAAGACCCACTCAAGGACATATCTGGTCTCATTATCTGCTTAATTGCTGCATGCTGATGAAGGAAGTAGGAATTAGAAATGCTCATGCTAAGTGCAGCTAAGGAGCACCAAGTCATTTCTAGCTCGCTACAGTGGTGCATGTAGCAAAAGCAATACGTGCCGAGCCCTTCATCCAACAATAGTGTTTAGGAAATGGCCCACCTCATGTTAGCTCTACTTCTCTCTGCCCAAGGTCTAAGCATAGCCAAGGGCAAAACACCTACTACAATCCCTTCAGTGGCTCTCTGTGAACTAGAACTCCAGCTTGTCGTTCTAGAATCCTAAATACCTTCAAGCTGTTCCTATCTTCTTTCCAGGCTCATCAGATTCCCCCAACCCATTCACATACTCAGGCCCAGCCTTAACTCATCTATTTTATTTTTAATTTTTGAGAATTTCATTTCTACCTTCCTTCTGTCCCCCAAACTCCTCCTCTCCTGTCAAGTTCATGGACCTTTCCTCTATTTCTTTAACTGTTATTGTTTCACACACACACACACACACACACACACACACACACACACACACGAGTCCCTTTAGTGTTCTTCCTGTGTACATGTGTTTAGTGATGATCACTTAGTATTGGATAGCCTATCTAGGCACTCATCTCTGGAGAAAACTGATTCTCCTCTCAGCAGACACTGATTGGCTTATAACTCTTTATCTAGTGTGGGACCTTCTGGAATTTCTCCCATCCATATTGGCATGTTATTTGATATGGTCATTATGCAGGTATTATTTAACCAACTATACTGTTGATATTTTCATGAGTGCTACATCATGGTCATGTCTAGAAGACACTGTCTTAGCAGGTATCCATGTTCTCTGACTCTTGCAGTCTTTCTGCCTCCATCTTCTATGGCATTTCCTGAGCCTTAGGTTGTGTTGTAGATCTCCCAACTAAGGCTACACACTCCATTGCCACTTATCCTTTGCATTTTTTACCAGTGATGGTTCTTTGTAGTAGTCCCTGCCTACTGCAAAAAGAAGCTTCTCTGATAAGGTGTCGGCCTTACACTTAGCTTTGGGTATGAGGTTCAGTGCTTAGAATACAGTTAGAAATTATATTGGTTCAGAAAAACATCAGTAGTAGATTCTTCTGTAGGGTTCATGATCTCTCCAGCCATGGGGGGTTAGCTAGGTTTACAATACTAGGCATGATTTCCCTCCTATTGAATGGGCTTTAATTCCAATTAGACTAGCTGTTAGTTACTCCCCAAGGTAAGAGTCCCATTGGAGGTATCTTACTGGACAATTATTTACTGAAGCCAAGGCTTTATAGTTGGGTGGGATTATTAATGCCTTACATAGGACTTTCTGATATTATGAGAGCTAGCCCTCAAGGAGGAGGCTTCTATGTCAGTTACAACTCGATTCCTCCAAGTTCTGTGTCTGAAGTGTAAGGTGTCTTCTGCAATTGGGTCTCACTTTTGAGTTCTGAGGAAACCTAGGGCAAGAGCAATAGTCTGTGCTATTCTAGGAGTCTCTTGGAAATGCAGGGCCAACAGCTCTAAAAGGGGTTTTCAATGCCTGGCATAGGGGTTTTGTTAGATAGTCTATGGCTCTTGGGGAAAAATATCACCCCATGTGGTGTAACTACATTTGGACTATATAAATGCATATATGTGTACATTTGTATTTTTAAGAAAGCTTATAAAATAATGTTTCCCTTACTGTCTTTTCACACATCCTTAGTGTTGCCTCTTCTTCCTCTTTCCTTCTGTATTACTCCCCTTTCCCTTCCCCAGTCAAAGTCTTGTTTGCTCCTCCCCTTCCCCTTCCTTCCACCATAACACCCACGATGTCATTCTACTCTTAATGAACTCCTATTAATGCTTTCAAGTCCAAGCCAATGTCACTTACTTAGATAAAGCCCCTGCTTTATCTACTGTTTTCCTTTGTTTTTAAAAGACACTGGCCATTGCTTACAATAGCACCTACTCCATTGTGCTGTGCATCAGCGGATGGCCTGTCTTCACTCTTGGCTAGATAGGTGACTCCTCCAGGAGTCAAGAAGGTATGTCATTCATCTCAGTGCCCACAAAATATTGCATGAAACTGAGGAGCAGGGAATCATTGATAACACTGTTTTCTAACCAGGCCAAAACCCTGGTTTCAGTCACTTCTAGGAGAGGAGGAAGAGAAACTGCTGGGTGACAGGTGTGGCTTTGGTGACTTTGGAGAAAGCCTGGAACTTCAACTGAAAAAGCTAAGGAATGTATTTTAGGTAAAAGGATGAACATGAGTTAAAGTCACAGAAATGGCCAGATGTAGATAAGCACGGGCTGAGAAAGTTTGACTTTCTTAAGTCCATAAACCAGAGACAGGAACTGAGAGTCAAAAGACACACTGGCTCATGAGGCCTCATTAATGGCCAGGCCTTGGTTTCTTTTGTTTTCTTACATTGAAAACTGTCTATATGCAAAATCAACTTATTCGTCTCTTATTACAGATGCACTGAAATTTTAAATTTACCTTCTGCTGCTCGGAGACTTTTCAATGAAAAGGGGAGGGAAATTTTTTCCCTGAATGACCTACAGAGAGATGAACAGGTAACCAAGGAGAGGGTGGAATTGGAAATGTGAATACATGAGCACTAGAGCTAAGGAAAACACCCTTCAATGCTTCCATCCTTGCCATTCTTGGGCTCTACTATAGAGCCCAAGGCAGGCCAGTTATTCATCACTTCTGATTTCTATATCTGTTGCTGATGGAGATAGATTCCTAACTCTTTTTGAAATCTATATATAGTTATTAATGATTTTCTTACTAAATCACTAATTTCCTCAATTTCTCAGATAAAAAAAAGGTACACCCTTTCATATGTTCTACTTGGAGTCTAGAGGAAACTGAAAAATGGAAGGTCTCACACAGCCTAGTCTTTCCCCCCACCCCATTTCTGGATTTAGAGATAACAGCATAAGTAAAAACATTCCTTTCCCTGACTGATGCCTGAAGTTCCTTGAATAAAGAACCAAGCTCATGCTATTGTACCAAATCTCCAAGCTGGACATGGTGGCTCATGCCAGTAACCCCAGTACTCCTAGAATCTGAAACAGGAGAATTGTGACTTCAAGGTCAGTGTTAGCTGTATAGGAAGTTCTGGGCCAGTCTGGTCTGTGTAGGGAGATACTGTCTCAAGAAAAATCAGCACGCATGTGTGTACACACATGCACACACACATACACACACACACATGCATACATGCATGTACATGTGACCAAAGCAAAAACAAAAAACAAAACAAAAAAAAAAAAAACAAAAAAAGCTTGACTAGGGCTCTGAAATCTGAGGACCTCCTGAGAGAGTTTGAAAGCCACCTATACTGAACAGAGTGAGAGGCAGCAGGTGAGGAGGCCTGGCTCTTTGGCAGTTTTTTTTTGTTGTTTTTTTCTTTCTTTCTTCTTTTTTTTTTTTTTTTTGGTTTTTCGAGACAGGGTTTCCCTGTGGCTTTGGAGGCTGTCCTGGAACTAGCTCTTGTAGACCAGGCTGGTCTCAAACTCACAGAGATCCCCCTGCCTCTGCCTCCTGAGTGCTGGGATTAAAGGTGTGCACCACCACTGCCTGGAACTTTGGCAGGTTTTATGTGGAATATGAATTCTATCATTTCTAAGAGTTTTGTGGGTTTTTAATGTTTCTGCTTGTACAGAAACAGTTGTTTGTTTGGTTTTGTTTTCTTTTTTCATTTGGAATTTTGGGAAGACTAGCTTAAAATAAATAATACCAAAAGATAAATAACTGTAGCATAAAGAGAAGTATAGAGAAGGCACCAGGGCAAAGGGAATATGGGTAGAAGGAGGGTGAGATGGAGTTGGGAGTGTGTCTTTAGTCACCAGGGTTTAACTCACCACTCTCAGAGTGTGAAGGTTGTAATGGGAGTAATTATTAGATTTAATGTCTGCAAAAGAATGGGAAGCCTCTTGTTCAAGGAGGGCAATGCCTAGGAGGAACTTCAGTGTATCCTCATCCTCATGCAAAGAGCTAAATGATGAGTGCATGGTGATGGCAAGAGGTAGCAGTGGGGTTCTCTTCAGGCTGGGTTTCAACATGACATTATTTTTCCTCTCCTTTAAGGGGATATGCCAGGTTTGGTGGCATTCCCACACTCCCAGCAATCAGGAGACTTGGGCTGGATGATTTTGAAGTGCAAGGCTAGACCAGGCTATATAGATGGACACTGTCAAGGGGAGGGTAAGAAGGATAGAAGGAAGGAGAGAAGAGAATGTATTTAAGGGCATTTAAGGCATAGGTACATGGAAAATGAGGAGAAAAGTGCACATTTGTTGTACATTTTAATATTGTTCAATAAACCAAAGCTACCTTAAAGAAGACATGTTAATTCTATATAATTTTAATTGAAATAGAATTCTACAAAGTTTTTAATTAAAATAAAATTATGTCACTTTCCCTCCTCCTTTTTCTCTCAATCACTCTTCCTCAAAACTCCCCCAAGTCCCTGCCACTCTCAAGTTGAGAGCCTTTTATTCTCTGATTATTATTATTTTAAACAAATATGCTTGAGTCTATGTATGTATGTGTATGCATAAACAAGACCAGAACAATGGCAGTATCAACAGACATCAAGGGAACAATTTTGTAGAGCCCTACCCATAGACTAAGAACTGCAGGCAACTAATGACCACTAGGAGAAGGAGAATTAGCCTCTCCCAAGGTTGAGCTCCTTATTGGTTGTCTAATTCAGAGTCACCAGTCTTGAAACCATATACATATAAACAGCAAAAACAGATCCAGGTGTGTGTGTGTTTAAAAAATCTTGATTTTTAGTTATGTGTTTAGTTTTGTGTCTCTGTATGGGGTTTATACATACATATGCTGTGCCCCTGGAGGCTATAAGTGGGCATTGTATCCCCTGAAGCTAATTTAGGGGTGGTGGTAAGCCACCTAACATGGATGCTAGGAACCTAGCCCTGCAAGAGTGGTACCTGTTTTAACTGCTAGCCATTGATGCAAGGGATCTTTTTTCTAAGAGAGGACAGGTAGTGAAGATGTTAGGCTTTGGTGACAATGTGGTCTCTACTGCAACACCAGCATTACTGATTGCATGTGAGCAAATGGGCAAGCCTCCTTCCCAGTAAAGCTGTATTTACAAAAAGCACCAGCAGCTCCCATCTGTGCCTTGGTCACCGTTGGCCAGCCTCTGATTATACTTGTATTTTAATCCCTCCTTCTTTCCTCCCCTTCCATTTTAAAAGACTAATTTTTTTATTTGTAAATGACTACAGCCTCATAGGAGTTGCAAAGAAGACGTGTAACATTTTGTTTTCTGCTCTAGCCATGTTGCACAAGATGCTGGCATCACTAGCAAGCCACGAAAGAGGTCCTGGCATCAAACAGCACACACACAGTTGAGGCTTTGCCGCCTGTAGTGTGCTATGCAGAACTGGTGCCTCTGTCAGTAGCTTGTTCCTTTTCATTACTGGGTGGTATTCCATGATACAACAGTTTGGCTATTCACCCTCTGGAAGGTTCTGACTGCCATGATTTCTTCTATTCTGGGGTGTTTCTTGAATAAAAGTGCTTCAATCCCTTACACGCCAGATCCCTGACTCATTTCTTTGATAGGTATATGTTTCATGTGGAGAACACTGGATTAACCCTGACCTCTCCATTGCTCAACAAAGGAAGCAAGTCTTCCTCAGGAGCCTTGAGCTTGATGTTTCCAAGATTAAAACCTTTTGCAGCATGCGCAAGGTGGAAGGTAAGCTTTGAAGTTACCTTACTTTGACACCCCAACACACTGGATGTCATTGCTTTATACTGAAATCATATTTATTCAAACAACCCATGTTTCAGCCCTGCAATTTGCTGTTTAACTCTTTAGCCTCATTTATTAGAGTATATTTAACAGAGTTGCATATTTTGTTACCTACAATGCTTCAGAAGAGCAAAAGGATTAAAAAAAAAAAACTCAACACAATTCCTTTTATGTTTTACATATATATAATTTGTGAGCCCCATGCATTCCCATCAAGGAAAAATGGATTACATGTCCAATCATGTTTTCATGCTGTACCATTTGTTTATGTAATCAGTCTCTTAGGCAGGGCCTTAGAACTCTGTAGTCTGCAGAGTCCCACTTGGCTGAGAGGAAAAAAACTTGGGATAGAGATCCTCTTGTGCCTGGCTTCCCAGAGATGTCAATGCCTGGGTCACTTGTATTTGGTCATTTGACCTGGATTGGACTTTGAGTGAGCCATATGCTTCCTACCTGGCTCAGTCTCCTTCCTGCTCTGACTTGCTCTCTGGAACCAGGCAGTGGCAGCTGGCTTACCTCTGACTAGAGAGCCTCCTTATCCTTGTGTGTCAACCACTTTGCTGCTTGACAACTGATAGGTCCTAGTTACATCTCCAGAAAGCCAAGTCCATATGCATATAGCCATGAAAGGATTGTGTTATGGAGGCCTGATGTTTCCCTAGTTTCTGCAGTGAAGCCTATAAGGAGAAATAGGATTCCCTTGTGGTGGTTTTTGGTATTCTCTGCCTTCTACCTCTTTCCCTGAAGGCCAACACTGAAGTAAAACTCTTTATACACTAACTAGGAGAGAAAGGCTTGTGGGAAACGTATGCATCGGTGCTGTATTTCTTGGCTTACATGGTGGTTGTCTTGGGACAGGATGCTGTTTGGATGTCAGAAACTGTCATTGGCATCTGGTGAGACAGACTCACTGGTCAGCTAAACTAGCCTAAATCAGTGAGCCCCAGTTCTCCTTGGGGAGCCCTGGCTCAACAAACAAGGTGTTGGCTTCAGAGGAACAACATATGGTTGACTTCTGCCACCCCCTCAACCCTGTTCCTGAGTTTGGACTTTCACTTTTTCTCTTACAACATCTTTTTCTTCCTTGTGAGCTGCCTCTTTCCTTTATCTAAGTGAGGAAAAACCATTATCCCACACACACAAAGTTTTACACACATCTTTCACAGCATTGGATTTCATGGTTGAGTCTGAATTCCAGATAACAATCTAAAGACACATATGTAGATACTATAGCTTATTTGAATAACTGGAATAGAGAATAATTAAATTAACCTTGGGAATAACTGTTATTAGTACTTTTGTCTAAGTATATCTTAAGAGGAAGGAATTGGCCAGCATCCAGTTAAATAAAGTTCAACTTCTTGTTTAAAGGATGTTCAAAGGGTAAAGGTTTCATACTTGTGGGAATGTGTATTTTGGATTCCTGATGCTCTTCGGTCAAGACTAATATGTCTTTGCAATTTGTTCGTTTCTTCTCAGCTCTTGTTTTAGAAGTTCAAGGTGACCTTGTGTCTGGGGGCAAGCTTGCTGTGAATAAACCTGTAGTCATTCTTGAAGAAGAGAAGCAAGTGAAAGGACCAGAGGGAACTCAGATGCAAAATGCTGCTTTAATACCAGGAAATGCTTCCAGAGACACTCTGTAAGTAGTCACTGTGGCCAGAAAATGGACCAGTGTTGTGTGGCCATAGCTCTTCCACCTGAGGCAGCATGCAGCCCATTCAGGGAACTCAGAGAAATTTCTGAAACTCCATCACTTTAAGACACAGTATTTACTTACTTTTTTTGACAGATTAGTGGAACTAGAGCTTTAACCATCATCTTCATCTACTTTCAGTGATATTGCCACAACGTGATGATTCTTTAAAGACATTATCTCAGCATTATTCTCTCTGTGTGTGTCTCTGTCTCTGTCTCTGTCTCTGTCTCTCTCTGTCTCTCTCTCTCTTTCTCTCTCTGATTCATCATGTTTTTTACCAGCCAACATTGAATCATCCTAAACTATTGAAATAACTTTCTGACAGGTCTCCATCATGTCATCCTTTCAAGTCCTCTAAGGTCCATCTGTGGACAGTTATCTTGCTGACATGTCAGCTTTTCCCACAGTGCTTCAGTGAGCACCTAGACTGACAAGTTGAGTAATACTCTGCCCTCTGCCAGCCCCCAGCCCTGCCTGTCAACAACCTCATTTGTACCTCATGGTCACTCCCATTTGGCACATGTCTTCTTGCTATCATACCAAGTTCTAATAGGTGACAAGCTGGGACCTGAAGGTAGCATATTCCTAAGGTTCACTGCAGATACTTCTTTCTGCCTCAAGTTCTCTCTCTTGTCACACACCTATCTGTGGTGACTTCCATACTTTTCACACTGCTACACATGGAGATGTCCTTGTGAGACCCCTTCTCCCTGATCTTTCTTGTCCCACATGGGGCCTCAGTGTGGAAAAGGACTCCACACCACATGCTCTGCAAAGGCAGAATAAGGGAAAGATTGAGTTCATTCCAGACCAGAGCCTAGGGACAGTCAAAACTCTTTTATCCTTGTTATAAACTTACTTTTCAATTTATTAATTTTGCATATGTGTGCCACAGTTCAGGTGCAGAAGTCAGAGGACAAGGGCTTCATTATCTTCTTCCACTATGGGCTGTAAGGATCAAACTCAAGTTGCCAGTCCTGGTAACTGGTGCCTATACCTGCTGAGCCATTGCTGGCTCACCTTGTTACTAACTTGTAGGAAGCTGGTTTTAGGAATCACATTTTTCAATCTGACAAGTGATTCATCTAGTCCATTTCTTGAAGCAACCACAGGCTGTTTTTCACGTGTAGCATCTCCCATAAAATTTAGGTAATTGGACAGAAGCTTTCCTAACATTCCTTCCATTCTTCTAAAGAATGCTTTCTCTGGCCTCTGAGATACCAGGCTGCACTTAGACGAAATTGAGTGAGGAAAAAGAACCTTTTGAGAGCAAAGTTCTGCTTTGTGAACCAGTCACAACAGGGCCTGGAGTTCAAGGCGAGGGAGCTTACAGTACCCATTATATAGTGTGGGTTTCACTCAAACACTCAGGTGGGTTTTGTGACCCAGGCTCTCCAACACTCCTGAGTCCAGGGTGTCACTGGCTCACAGGGCAGCTCATTCTGCTTTGATGACTGCACTAACTGGCTTTGTGTGTCAGCGTGACACAGCTAGAGTCATCAGAGAGGAAGGAGCCTCCATTGAGGAAATGCCTTGATGAGATTCAACTAAGGCTTTTTCTCAATTAGTGATCACTAAGGGAGGGCCCAGTGCATGGTGGGTGGTACCATCCTTGGACTGCCGGTCCTGGGTTCTATAAGAAGCTGGGCTGAGCAAGCCAGGGGAAGCAGGCCAGTAAATAAGCAGTTCCCCTCTATGGCCTCTGCATCAGCTCCTGACTCCAGGTTGCTGTCCTGTTTGAGTTACTGTTCTGACTTGGTTCAATGGTGAACAGCAATGCTGAAGTGTAACCGTTTCCTCCCCAACTTTCTTTTGGCCATGGTGTTTCGTCATACCAATAGAAACCCTAAGACAGATGACTAACTCTTAGAAATCTCTATCCCTTGAGCCTAGGCTTCCCTGTGATGAACTCCACTTCTAGCTGACAGGCCTTTGTGTACCTAGCTGTCCCTCTTTGAACATCACTTTCACTAGTTCTTTGATCTTTGTCTGAGGACATTATCTTCTGTGTACATTTAATTGCATTTATTTATTTATTTTTTTATTTAGTATGAAAAGTCATGGGTTTGGCTACAGTGTTTTCAAACGTTCATCCCAAGAGTGCATATTACTCTTGCTCACCTCTTCCCCTACTGCCCTCCTCCACCCCCCTTCTTGCTCTGCTTTAGTCACCTTCTTCCCAAATGTCCCCGTTGGCCTTCCATGTCACATATCCTTCACTACCTTCTCTCATGTTCCTTCCTCCCTCTTCCGGAAGATGTCCTTGATGACAAAACTCCATGTTAGAAATCACCGTGCAGTTTGTCTGGAATCCCTCGGTCTGCATCTTCAGAAGATCTAGTGTGTGAGAATTGAGATGATTTAAGGAAGGCATCCATCAAGCAAGCTCTGAGAACATAAGTCTAAAAGGGATCTTTTCTTTTCTTTTCTTTTTGAGATTATGATTTAATTACATTTCTCCCTTCCCTCTCCTCCATCCAAGCCCTCCCACAAACGCTGCCTCACTGTCTTTCAAACTCATGGCTTCTTTTCTTTCACTATCACGTGTATGTTTGTACATATATGTATGTACATATATGTTCCTAAATGTAACCTGCTCAGTCAATATGTTACCTGCATGTTTGTTTTCAGGGCTGAAAGGTGAGTCTTTGTCCTTGCTGCCTTCTGAGGAGAGATGTGTGCCTACTTCTGTAAGGAGCAGTGTGAGAAAGAGCCTGGTACTGGGCTCGGCACCCCTGCTGATGAAGCAAGTTCAGAGCACAGAATGTGGGGACGACCTTCTCACTTTCTCACAGTACTGCAGAGATTGTCCTTTCCTAACTTCTCAGCCCTGTGTGAAACTACCTCCCTAACCTCCCACTCTGTTGTATCAGCATCTTCCTGTTCCTCACGAATCAAATGTATTCTTGATCTTCTAAGTTTTAGTTACTTATTTGGTTCTTACAGAGCAGACTTCTTCATGGCCCTCAGAAGTTTTTGTTTCATTTTCTTTTCTTTTTTTTTTTTTTTTTTTTTTTTTTTTTTTTTTTTTTTTTTGGTCCCTCAGTTTTAAGATGGCCACTGAGAGGACTCTTTGGCTCCATTTCTGAAGTATTGCAGATCCCATCACAGTGACTTCCCATTGCAGTATTCTGTTTTCTTCCACAGGGGAGCAAGTTGTGGTTATTCACTTCCTTGTTTGCTATTTTTCCATTTCCCCACACAATGTGAGTGTCATGTATCATGAACCTAGACCTTACCTATCCTGTTTTTAATGTACCCAACATGAAGTGTACTATACCTGGCATATACTAGATGTTAGATAAATATTGGTGAAAGGGACGAATAACTAGTGGGAGATGCTTCTTATGAATAAGCAATTTGGTTCATTAATTATTTAAACAAGATAGATTCTTTAAAGGCTTTTCTAGAATTGACTTTACTACATTTGACTTACCAGGACTAGCAAAGCTGTTAAATTCCATGTAGACTATAGGACACCTGTTTGTGAGGTGAGGGTGGAAGTATAACACAAAACATAAAAGACCCAGAGACTGACATTGGGGTTCAAGCGTCAAGCTGGATATCAGAAAACAAAGCAGCTGGCCACTAGCTTCTTACCTCTACTTTGGGCTGAATGAACTGATCCTGTCTCCATGAGGTCTCACCAACCTCAGACTGTAACCTTTCCTCAGCATGGCTGGAGAATGAATGCCTCTCTGAGACCTTGCTTCTGACTTATATACTTCCCTAAAGTTTGGATTAAAGGTGTGAGCTGTAATTCTCTTTTAGACTGATTCACTCTTGTGTAGATTTGGGTGGCCTTGAACTCACAGAGATAAGTCTACCTCTTAACCCTGAGTCCTAGGATTAAAGATGTGTACCACCACCTCCTAGTTTCTGGCTGCTGGGGTTAAAGATGTGTGCCTGGCTTCTATAGCTTGTGGCAGACTCTGCTTTTCTGAATCCTCAGTCAAGCTTTAATAAATCATAAATAATATATCACTATATGGAAGAGCTGTGTTTTCTGTTTCAAACACAAGATGGCACTGGTGTATTTTCAACGACCGGGGATATGCTGACTGGGGAAACTGCTTGTGCTCTGAAGGAGGCCCTGGTTGCACTCAAATCTCATACCCATGTGCAGCACCTGGCCCTGGCACTCGAAAAGTGCAAAGCCAATGTGTTAACGCCAGAGTTGCCCTGGAAGTCTTCAGTCATTTGATAATGCTTGCAATTACATCAAGTTATCACCACTACCTTGTTGGGCACAGCCTATTGCAGAGAAAGAACGTTATTTGCCCAGTTGTATATCAGGGCTGAAATACACTTGCTGTTTGCCTGTGTGTTTATTGCTCCCTTGGCAGAACAGTCATCATAATGCTGCGTCCCAATCTCACTCAAAGAATATATGTTCTAATTGCAGCCTGGAGTTTAGAATCCATGGATCTGAACAGTGGCTGCTACTCCTGGCCACCTTTGTCTTGAATATTCAAACCATCACTATTACATTCTAAAGTTTCTATGTACTTTTCTCAATTAAAAAAACATGCATGCAGCTGTGATTTGAGTCACTTTAGATTTCTCTATTGAGAAATATCATCTTCAGAATAAATGTATGCAATTCCCACATCTGGGGTATACTGCTTCAGACAAAATTAGGACCTACTTAAACACCAGTGTAGGAGTGTTATCTCATATTTATTATGAATTGCTCAAACTGTCTTAATATAACTTTGGAATATAGTACACAGACCCATTTTCTAAACTAAACTAACAAAAATGAATGCTGCCTATTATGTGATTGAGGGGTTTTATTTGCTGGCTTCTACTAACAGATCTAAACTGTGTACCAGTGAAGTGTGGATTTCCAAATCTAGCCCCCCCCCATGAAAATACGATTTACAGAAGTGCCAATATCCTGCATTCTGTTGTCATGCTACAGCTGGAGACTCTGTGAACATACGTCACCATTCTTAAGACTTTGCCCCTGCATCTTGACAGAGATTCACATGCGAGAGCCCATCTCCGCATGGAAGCCTGTTGCCGGATGCTTAAGTATGCTTGGCAAGACCCATCATACAACCTTAAAGATGATGGCAGCCTTCCCAAGAAAATGGAAATAGAGCCCTTTGAAAATGTGCAGCCCCAGAAGAAACACAGGTAAAATTGGCAAGGGATTCCTGTTGGAAGGTTCTGTCTGGCCTTAGACCCCCCTCATGCTGCTTACAAGCACAGTCTTTAACATTTTTACTTTGATTGGCTACAGTGTGTGCCAGCATGCACATTTTTGTCTTGTGATGCTGATGAAAGCATCTGTGAGTGGTGAGAAGGATGGATTCTTTGCCCCTCAGCTCCTCCCGTGCAGGCTGACCATGATGTCTTGGTGTCTGATGGACTCTTTTTACTAAACAGTACTTCCATCCACCTTTGACTCCTGAGAACTTAGAATAGAATTTGAACCTTTGTATTTGTTGGATGAGTGTGTGGATAAATTGCTAAACACTCAGTAGGATGTCCTTAATGCCTTTAAGAAGCTAGAAAAATACAACTTTTCCTTTTAAACATTTCATTCTGGTCATCATCCAATGAAATATTAGGAATATAACATACACAGTACTTTTCCATAATCTTTAGACATTTGCCTGACATTATAGTAGTTACTAGCACATGTGAGTTAAACGATTTCCTCAGATTTAGCCATTACCATTAAAGCATGCACACAACAGAGGCTTAGTAGAGCTCTTTAGATTACTATGACATTGTATTTTGATGTTTATAATGTGCCACATGTCTACTTAATGTTTTAAGGTCCTTATGTAAGATATTTGTTTAAATTAACTTCCTGACATTTCCTTATTCTTTTATGATAGTTCATCATTGAAATTTTGGAACCCAGAACCCAGGAGCAAGAAGAAAAAAAGATTTCACTTTTCACAAAACACCATTATTTCTCTGGTTTCATTCTACATGCCCCTTCTCTGGCTCCTTCTTTCCTTTGAATTTAATCTTTTCTTCCTTAGCTGTGCTGCTTTTCCATCTGAATTTCCTTTCTCTTAGCTGGCAAATTTTTCAAATGTTCTCTTAGATAAGCATTTATGTCTTTTATAAAATAAGCTCAGGATTCTACTTCAATTTTTTTTTAAATTAACGTGTGTGTGTGTCAGACAGAGTGTGTCACAGTGTGTGTGTGTGTGTGTGTGTGTGTGTGTGTGTGTGTGTGTGTGTGTGTGTACCATATTTGAGTGCATTTTGAGTAGAAGCCAAAAGAGGAAGTCTGATCCCTGAACCTGGAGTTAGAGGTGTCTGTGAGCTAGCTGTTGGCTGCGGGTGCTGCAAACCAAACTCAGATCACTCAGCCAGTACACCTAACTGCTGACCCATCTCTCCAACCACAGGATTTACTATCTATGCCAGCTTAGAAGCACACTGCTGATGGCCTCAGTGCTGTTCTTCTGGAATATTTACCACTGCAAGTTAACAGTTCAGGGGCAACTCTGACCAACAGAACTTAGCATCTCCAGTGCATACACGCCCAGGGCCATTTTCCTGTCATTAACAAGAGTTTTCTTTGCCTTAGCCATTTCCCAAAGCATAGTAAATTGAAGAAGCTATGTCGTCAGGAGTTTGAATATAGAGACGGGCAAATCATCAGCCTAGGTGCTCCTCAGCTGGTTCTGGGTGTACAAGGCTCAAAACTCCGGTCAGGCACAGAGGTAGTTTTGATGGAGAAGAAATCCAATGACGGTCACCAACACTGGACACACAAGGAAGAAAGCAGGTAAACTCACTTGTGAGGTAACTTGATGCGTAAACTTGTGAGGTTTACGAATCAAAGTGCATGGGACAAAGTTGAGATGAAAAGATAAAATAAGATGGAATGTTGACAGCATTTAGATTCATGTTTCTTTACACATTTCTCCTTGTTCCTGTACATGGTTAAATATTAACTTAATGTGTTTCTCTGTGTGTAGTTGTATACACATAGGTGTAGGTGCCTGTGTAGGTCAGAGAACATATCAGAGTTCCTGGAACTGGAGTTACAGGTGTTTGTGGGTCGGTATGGGTGCTGGGAACTGAACTTGAGTCCTCTGTAAGAGAAGTATGTGCTCTTGTCTGATGAACCATCAATCCAGCCCCAGTAAAACACTTTAAAAGGCCACATGAATACATAATTATAACGAATGCTTGTCCTTATAATGTTTACTTTTATGTGTATTCACTCATTCAATTCCCACAGGATGCACATTATTCTAGCATACAGATGGGTAAATTGAAACATTGAGTTGTTCATGCCATAAAGTGGTAAGAGATAGACCCAGGATTCCATCCCATTTCATCATCTTCACTGCTTCTCAATTATAGCAACATGGAAAAATATTAGCCACATGGATAATAAAGATATATCAGGTTGGGAATAATCTAGAGACAGAAACAACAGCATAATTTAAATAGGGGAAATAAATTTTGAGGAATTATTAAACTATGATAAAATACAAGCTATTATTGATATATTATACATAAATTATTATGGATATTTAATAATATTCATAGCAGACTATCAAAGCTTATTTGTTCTGATAAGCTGGTGAACCTAAAGAAACTTGGGTTTCTACATAGCAGAAACATATAGAAATTCCATTTATAATAACCACAGTCTGTTACATAATGCAACTAATTCTGTCTTCTTAAGGACTATTCACCTAGTGAGTAACCCCAACCTTGTGCTGGCAGTGTCTATGACCAAGGCTCAAAATGAAGCCCATGGCTATCCAGTTATCATTCAGGTAAGATATGCACAGGCCAACAAGAAGCCATGCCCTTTCATGAAGCTGCAGGGAGGCTCAGTGTCTCTTTGTTACAGAGCAAAGCAATAGCTGTTATAGAATATTATTTTGAATGTCACTGTTAAAAATCTTTTTGTAATACTCTGTCTAGACTTCAAATTGAGCATATTGAGATACCTCAGTTTGATTCATTCTGACCAATAGTGAATGTAGGCTTGCTGATAGTCCAGGGTGGGGGCAGTTCACACCCTGGCAAGTGAGTGAGAAACTGTCCCCACAGAATTCATGGAGCTTGTAGCCTCGGGGGTTGATGGCTCTTGGGTGCACCTAAATTCATTGATGAAAGAGCACAGGCAAGGCCTCCTGGTGTGAATACCAGAGGAAGAGATCTGGTCGGTGTTTTTTGGAGGCCATGAGCCCACAGTGGTAAGTCTGCTAAGAAACCCATTTGCAGCACCTGTTAATTCAGGCTTCACTTGAATTTGGAACAAAGACCCAGGAAGGTCTTTTTTGTCACCCTTCCTTATAAGTAAACACTTGAAAATGGGCTTGTATTTTCCCTGACAGGCCAAGACCCAGCCCAGGAACATCCCAGCTCTAATTCCCCTTCTGTAAGCTCCACCCTAATTCCCATGGAACAGAGTAATTATCTCCAAATAACATTTGATTTATTCCATGTTTTTAGTGAAGAAACTTGTTTTGCAGTTTGGTATCCCAAATCAGGACAGAGCAATCTGGACAGATTCTGAAGCTTGCTTAATTAACTCCTCTGTCCTCGTGATAAAGAACTAGACATCTATCCTGAAGAAATAGCACACATAACATTTCATGTTTCCTATCAGGTGCCTCTTCAACACAGGCCTCAGTTAGGTTAAACCTCACATGGCTGCCTGCAAGTTCAGTTCCTTAATCATTTTCATAACATTTGAGATATCAATGTCACCTCAATGCATCTTATTGTATAAGGAATTAACTTAATCATAAGGTAATTTGGATTAACTTTCAAGATATCTTTTCATTACTAGTGTTTCGATTTTTATGTATTTAAATGATAAGTTTGTGAGAAAGCATTCATGTATCTGTAAGTGGAATCGAGCTGCTTCAGGTAATGCCCCTAGATCCTTTCTTATTGCTTGAGAATTTACCCTTGGGTTTTCCAGAGGGAGCTCTGTTATCTGACCCATTAAATTAGTGCTAAGAACTTCTTCGATGTTTATCTCTTACCAGGTGCAGTGGTTATTATAAATTATAAAGTTCCTTGAGGCATCATGATACGCTTTCCTAGAGCTAAATTGCTGGCCTATGTCTTTTTACTTACACTTGAGATAACTCAACAATGTTATAATTATATAACAAAATCATGTTCTTTAACAATGTAAACAACAGAATTAAAATACATATCCTGTTTTGTTGCATATTTCGCTGGATTGTTTTTAAAAACCCACTTTCTTGACTATCAGTCAAATACATATTAAAATGTCAACAAATTGCTGGTTTTTCACTTAGTAAGTTGGTGTTTAGAGAGAGAGTGTGCATGCATGTTGGGCAAGAACATAAAAACAAGTGAATTCATATACTGTTGGCAAAGGAGGATGTCAAATAATCTTTCTAAAACGCTTTCTTGGTCAACACCACAATCTTTTAAATAACCTTAATCAATAATCCTTCTAGAAGTTTTTCCTAAAATATTTTCATGAGTACACACACACACACATACACACACACACAGGCGAACACATACCATACATGCACATATAATCCTGCTGTCTTATTTATTAGAGGGAATGTTAAAAAAAAAGTCCTGTAGGTTCAATTATTTAGGAATTTCCTGAATTTCCTAGGCATAATTACTCTAAGAATAAATGATCAATATTCTTTTAAAATGTCAGAAAAAAACACAAAATAATGTTGAGTAAAAAGTAGTGTAATTAAAAAATTTTAATTTTTATTGTCTTTGTGAATTAAATATGTTTAAAATCATGAAATTATGTATGTAAGTCCCAAATATCAACAGTAGTTATCATTTACAGTAATTTATGAATAATTAGATTTCTAAATTTATGCAATAAAAATGCCTGCTCTGCTGTCTTATAAACTCACCTGTTTAACTGAGTCCACATTTTGCCACTCTTTTATTTTTTAGAAGTATAAGCCATATGGCAATGGGGCTGCCAATCAAAAGTGGCATTACATGGAAAATACGAGAACATTTATAGCCTTTCACAGCACTGCCCTGGATAAGGAAGTCACAGCAGCGAATTCCTCTGGCCTTTGTACATCATCTGTCACTAAAGAAAACATTGATCAACCTGTAAGTATTTACCTCTCCCCAAAGATGAAAAAAAAAAAAGGGTCATTTAATAAAGCAAGGTGTTTTTCGCCCAAGGGAGAACTTAAATTCATACATGCTGAACACTAATTTGTTTGTTTCAGACAAGGTCTTGCTACCAAGGCCACGCTGGTTTCTGACTTGCAACCTTCATCTCTTAGCCCCCAAGGGTGGGATTACAGGTGTGTACCACCATGTCTTGCATTAAGACTAATTCTTGATGAAATCACTTATACTCTGGGATTCTTAATAGGAAGAATGAAAGAAAATTATGAAAAGTAAAATAAATTATATACTCTCTCTAAAACTACTTGTTTTACTGTGGAAATTTTCATACATACTCTAAAGCAGACACACTGGAACAGTGAATCTTGATTTACCCATCACATATAATCAGCAGTCATTAAGAATTGATCACTTTGTCTAATCCCAGATGTGACACTGTTTACCTCTAAATTAAGCATGCAATTTTGTAATTTTGAACATTTTTGACACATATCATCATGCCACTGTCATGATTAATGAAATGAACAGTGACATTTGGGCAATGTAATAAACTATTTTTAATCAAATTTTCTAGGTTGTCCTAAAAAGTCATTTTTAGTGTTTGTCACTTTAAATCAAAACTCAAGGAAGGCCCTTGGGTGGGATTGTGTTCATAGCCTAGTCCATAGTCAGGCAGCATGCTCTGTATTTGGATTTCCTTTCTTGTAGGTCATTTGACTTGTCTCTCTTTCTCCATGATTTCTGTCAATTGGATGCACACTAGAGTTATCATTAGACCTATGCTTACCATTTTCTGCAGAACCTTTATGGGTTTCCATGTGTGTCTCATATATTTAGGTCTCTGAAGCCTGTACTTGTCTGTCCTGTTTTTAATGATGCTTCTCGTGGCTTAAAGTAATTTCTTCTTGTCCGCATATTTGGAAATTCCTCAATGACTGACTATTCCTCTAATGTCATCATTTTGCTTCTAATCAATCAACTTTATCTGATTATACTGTTTTCTCCACATCAATTAGCTAAATATTTAGTAAGAATATTACCTCACTAGTCAACAATACAGTTTGAAAGAAAAGACGGAGTAAATGCCAGATTCTTTCTTGCATGTCCATTTGTCTGTTAAAACACAGCACATCAACAGGATATATGTCCCCGTGAGGTGGTGATTTGGGCTGAGCTCTGCTGGGCACCTCTGCTGGTCTTAACAAGGGCCTCTAAGGTGGCTATAATCATCTTGTAGATTTTTAGTAGTATGAGGACTGTATAGTCCATGATGGAATCTCTAACATGCATAGTGATTGGTAGGCATTGACTCTCCAACTGCTATATGTCTCAAGCAGCTTTGTTTAATGAGTTCAGTGTGACCTCAGGGCTCCAACTGTAGCTATAGAGGCCAGGCTCTACTGTGCAAGCTCCTCTCATGTACCTGCTTGCCTCTTACTTCTGTTGTCATTGGGCAAATGTCAAGGACATAGCTTTCTCACAGTCACAAAGAGAAGATAAGGAGAAAAACGCAGAGCCTCCTGACCAGAGAGGAACAATAATGTCACTGGTCAGAAGGGCACACAAACAAGGTTGGAATGGTTTTTATTTTAGCCATCTTTAGAAATAATTTGCTATACTAACAGTCACAATGGTTAGTTTTCAAGTCAATGTCTACCAACCATAATTAATTTCAGATGATGTCAAATGAGGCCCCACCCCTTTCATTCTTTACTTGTATTGATAGCCTTGTTATGAACTCCTAGGAGTTTACATAATCAAATCTAGTCAAACTGAATTATCATTCTTTATAATCTCAAATTATCCTTCTTTGAGCCAGTTGGGACACTTTTATTTTGGCTCCTGCATTCTTTTGATATATTCCTCAACTCCAGCAAAATGTCCCTTATATACAAGATGTTATACTAGAGTGTTCCTGAGGAGGCACTGGTAATTCTTCAAATAAATCTTGACTCTGTATAGAAGTTAGGATTCCCAGTAGTGAATAGTCATATCAGAGTTAAGGAGTATTTTTAATTTTTTAAATTACTGGGACTGGTGAGATAGTTCAGCAGATAAGGCACTTGCTGCCAAGCCTGAAGACCTGAGTTCAATCCTTGCAACCAACGTGAAGGAAGGAGAGAACCAACTCCTGAAAGGTGTCCTCTGACCCCCACCTATGTATACCCCATCTCCAGAATACACACACCAAATAAATAAATAGATAAATAAATGTAAAAACTAACTATTAGGAAGCATAATAAGCCACTTGGCTTGTGGCTTTAAATTTAGCATTTGATAATGACAAATGTGCTTTCCTTGTGCTGTGAAGAATTCTGCAAAAATGCCATTATGGTTTAGAAGCACCCAATGTGAAAACATCTTTCCCTCTGTTTTAGGGATACTGTTACCTCTCACCTGATGGAAAGAAAAAAATGATGCTCTGCCTGGCTTGCGGACAGTCCATGAGGGCAGGGAAGGGGCTGAAACAGCTGCTTCCCGGCGTTCCATTCTTCTGTGTTTCAGGGTCTGAGCAGAAGTCCTTGGCACGGAGGCCTTTCAAGGTCATCAGCATTGCCAAGGTACTCATCCACTTCCCTGCTGAGCTCCTCTACTGCCCATGCAGCAACAATTTGGAAACTTCGGTGCATTTAGATTGGCCTCACTTTCAGGTTCAGCTCCGCTCATCCACGTCATCTTCCTCAGATGCACCTTCCCATCCTGCCAGCATGGATTTCTTTCTCCTCATTGTAATTTAAATTGTATTGTCTCTTAATAGTTCTGTCCAGCCTTTGAAGTTAATTGGGCACTTCTGCTGCTGCAATCTGCAGACATCGTTCCCTTCTCTTTGTGCAGCTTTTGGGTCTGGAAGTAACTTCCAACCTTTACTTAGCACAGTGGCATTTGCCCCACACCAATAGGGAAAGCTCCTTTTTTTTTTTTTTAAACGGGTATGGTGCATTTCTGCGAGGATTTGACATGTTGCTGTTAGTAACAGTTCAGGCTAGGTGAAAGAATTCATCCATGTCTAATACCATTTAGAAACCCTAGGGGTGGGGGGGACTAACTCTGCCACATTCTGTGACCTTAATTTAAAATGACACCATTAAAAAGAAGAAAATCCTTCCCTTCAGGCTGAGCAGTGTAAAGAACTGAGGTGGTGGGGGGATTTAAACAGCGAATAAAAAGGAGGTAATCCTAAAATGTGAGCAACCCACCAGCCTGGTGTACCCCTCAGGGATCATCTGCCTGTCTCCAGACCTTACTCCTCTGTCTCGAAATTCTGCTTTATGCTAGAGGTGGACAGTGACAGGTTGCAGTGAACTCAACCCAGGTAGTAACTTGGAAGGAAAGGGGAACCAGTCCTCCGGGCAGGTTTCTAGGTCAGAACGTTGGGGAAAAGCTTTCTAAGGGATGTTCTGCACCTTCTTGTCCTTTTCACTCATTTCCCACCAATGGATGACCTAGTCGTTAAGAAAATGGCTGTAGTGCTCATATCCCCTTACTTCAATCCCAGGTTCTCTTTGGTCCTGACATCCTCTCTTATACATCTTTTATGACCCACCACAAGCCCAAACAAACATATAACCCAAGCAAACCAGAAAGACAGACAAACTGTTTCAAAAGTCAGTGAGAGAACCTGAAAGAGAACTGAGGAATTCCGACCCAACTCTTCCTCCGCCACACCAGGTATCTATAGTACACGATGAAGACACTATAAAGCACAGGTCCACCCACATACACACACATGCAGACTTTAAGTGGGGAGTAGAGATATGCCAAGATAACAAGGCAAGGCAGAAACAACACAATCTGTGTAAACGTTCATTTTATTTTAAATAAACCAGGCTGATTTATCTTCTTATGAAGCTGAAAACACTCTAAAGCATTATGAAGAACGTCTGTCATCTTTATGGATGAAGACACACGCATGCACCACTTCTCACAGTGGTGTGGTAGCTTCCTACCACACCTACCAAAAGGCAGTGAAAATAATCGCATACAAAAATGGGGATGGATATCGGAATGGGAAGTTAATTGTGGCTGGAACCTTCCATGGGGTAAGTGGCTATCGCTAAAATGCTGTCTATCTCCTTAGAGGTGAAGGTGGTGGCGACTTCTGACAAGAAGTACCTCAAAACTGAACAACAAGCAGGCCTGTCTACGCCTAACAATTTAAGCTGATGAGATCAAGATCTCTGTTTTCCTAGAGGCATTCTTTCTGATTGTTTTTCTTTGAATATAAGGTTAGAAACAGTGAGAAACCAGTGCCTTGGTTCTCAAGGGGCCCACAGCAAAGATATAAAGGAAGAGAGAAAATGGAACAACCAGGCTATTTTCACCCTCGTGATGGCCAGAATGTCTTTTTCCTCCTTGTTGTCCTTGCACAGCAAGTTGAATGTTAACCTGAATATCTGTTGTTTGTTTTGTTCTGTTTCTTAATGCCCCCTCATTTGGCATTCAGAGTATCTGAACAAGTATTTGTTGACAAGGTTTTTCACTTCACTTTTCAATGGGAGGGAGCAGCACTTAGATTGTTAGAGACTATGTGATTGCTTTGGAGGCTGTGTAGTCATGAGATAATCATGTCTCAACAACTTGCCTAATACTTTCAATAAGCTATTTTATAGGGAAGATTAAATACAGTATGGGTTTGTTTTTTTGTTTTTGTTTTTGTTTTTCTGACAGTTCCTCCTACCCCCTTCCTGTTCATTCACCTCTGGGGTTGGAAACAATTGACTTTTCTTATTAAGATACTGTTGTTCAGGTCTGGAGAGATGGCTCAACCTTTATGAGTATCTACTGCTCTTACCGAGGACATGAATTTGGGTCCCACACCCATATCTGGTAGCTTGTGGCAGTCTGTATGTAACCCCAGCTCACCAGGATCTGACAGCCTTTGCTGGCCTCCTGGGGCATCTGCACTCATGTGTACACACAAATGGACAATCAGAAACAGAATTAAAAACAAAAATAAATCTTTTCACAAATGAAACTTTCTCAGTGGACAAAGCAAAGTCCATAAGTTAACCCAAGATTTACCTAAGGCTCCAAGGCTGGCCTTCTCCCTCCCCCACTTCCCCCCTCTCCCTCTCCCTCTCTCTATTTGTCTGTTTTGTTTTTTTGTCTTATTTGGTTTTTATACTTTTATTTGTTATGGGGGGTGGGTCTTGGGTTTGCTGTGTGTGCCAGCATGCATGCATATGCCACACTTATGGCACAGTGCACTTAAGGAAGTTAAAGAATAACACGAGGGAGATGATTCCCTCCTCCCACTACCTGGGTCCCAGAGACTGAACTCGGGTTGTCAGGTCTGTAGCAGGCACTTGAAGCCTCTGGGTCATCTTGCTGATTTGTTTTTCCATCTGCAAAATGGAGGTAATAATGCATGACAGTTTGGCTAGAAGACTAGCTATTTGTTTTTTTTTTAAAACTGTTCACCCATTTGCAGTATGACAATATTATATCTTATAGTATAACAAAACAGAAGGAGATTTATAAGTTATACATTTTAAGTGACCATGTCTTATGGAAAAACGTGTCAACATATCTAAGCTGCTGGGCTTCAGCTCTAGAGCCAGTTCAAAACCATGTTTGTCTCGTATCAAATTAGAGAAAACAGATACAAAAAATTGGCTGTAACCAACAATCAGCATCAACAGTTATTCAGTGTCTGTTTTAAAAAAATAAAAGATTTTTTTCAGATTTCTACAATGACAGGCATCTTGGCATAATTTCAGATGTCATCATTATTTCCTGTTTTTAAAAAATTGTTTGTTTTTATTTTTTATGTGTTCTGCCTGCATGTAAGTTCACTTTATGGAGGACTGGTACCCTCAGAGGTCACCAGAGGGAACTGGATCCCCTGGAACTGGAGTTATCTGCAGATGGAAGCCATAATGTGGGTGCTGGGAACAGAACCTGGGTTCTCTCAAAAGCAAAGGAGTGTGCTTGTGACTGCTGAGCTGGTTCACAAGCTCCTCCTATCAGTTATTTACAACTTGTGTTATGTAGCTTCTTGCAGAATGCACAGAACGACTTGGACTCGCTAGAGCAGCCTCTAAAGTCTACACCAGAGATGGAAGCAACATCCTCACTTTGCATGGCTTGATTCTGTGGGCTGTAGGTGAGACCCTTAGCCAGAGAGACCCCAAGGAGCAAGAGAGCAGCCCAGATTCTGTTGGGACAGAAGAGACAGCTGTTCAAAATGCAGAAGGTTGGTTAACTTCCCCAGGCATTAGTCAGTTCCGTTTATGCTCCATTCTCAAAAAGTTAAATATGATTTATCCAGTTACCACAGCAAGAATTGCAAAATTCTAGCCAGTGACTTTTGTAAGTGGTTTGCAGAGTATCAGTGAGATTCTCATGGTGTCCTTACCTTTCTTAATAAGTAAATAGATTAATAATAATAATAAATTCCAGTTTTATAATTGAAACAATAAACCAATTCATAACTAACAACAGTAGGCAATTTAACTACTTTGTAAAGCACTAACATTTCTTGGTTCTAAAACTCAGAACCCAAATCAAGTGGGAGCACTGAAGAAATTGTTGCTAGATCAGTACCACTCTCTTCCTGTGGTTGAAGGGAAGGTCATCCCTCTCTGTACTTTTTCTGCCCTCTGCTTTCCTTCCCTGACCTTGCTGCTCTCACTGCTTCAGTGAAACCCCCGGAAGCTCTGGTGGATGCCCCTTTCTTGCGACTTGTGACACAACAGTATGCTCCCAGTGTAAGATTTTCAACTCCTGTCCTAAAACTCATGGTTTAGAGGTTACAAACTTTGGTTTGGGACTCAGAATATCAAGTTTTGAGTCCCAGATTTGCCAGCTACAGCTGAATGACATTGGCCAAGTTCTTGAACCCTTTCCTACTTCAGTTCTCTCACTTGTGACTAGATATGCCAATAATCACCTTCCTTACAGACTTTTCATGAGAAGCACAGGAATATAGGATTGATATAAAACAAAACAAAAAGCAAAACAAAACATGGTAAACTTACCTTAAAGGGAATAAGAGACAGTTTATTCTGCAGCCATTTTTTTTTGTAACCATAGCTAGGGAAACCAGATTTATGTTACCCCAAATTCCACATTCCAACATGGAAGCAGCTTTATGGTTTCACGGAACAAAGAAAGTTATAAATCACGGCAAGTTTAAAATACATTGATGGGTAAACCAGAAAGGCAGGTACAGTGAGATGGAGTAAGTTATTTTTGTAATCCCAACAAGCTTTCTGATGACATTCTTAGCTTTTGAGTTGGTGGAAGCTAGTGGTCTGGGTCTGTTAACAGGTTTTAAAATGTTTTTACTTACTATTCACATGATGTTAGTTCAGACTCCGGTGGGTGAGGAATGACTGTTCTGGAGGGCTAGAACCTGACCAAGATAAGATAATTACCCCCTGCAACTTTGAAACCTGTCCACAGTACTGACTATTGTGTCAGAATCAAGATTCACTAGGCTCTGTACAGGTTAAGTGAAGTTTATTCAGGGAGAATGCACTCACACAAGAGGCGGGTAACTGCTGCAGGTTCCAGCTCCAAGGATCCTCCCAGGCTGTTTCCTGTGACCCCCCCAGAGGCAAGAGAAAACTCTGGGTTCCGGACCCCAGATCTAGTCCTTCCTCCATCATGTCCTCACCTGTGACCACGCCCATTTGGTGTGGGTGGGGTGGATATCTCACTACAACTGACATTCTAATTAGTCCATCTCCATAGACTGGGTTTCTATTCTGTAGCTTTTGTTCACAATAGAATAGATCTGCTTGTGATTTTTGCTTTCTTCTTTTTTGTTCTATTATAATAGAACACTACTACAGTGTGAGAAACATTTTGCTCTATCAAAGATGGGCTGACCTACCAACAGTCCATAAGTCTCCCCCCATCTTGTGATACCTTAGCATGTTCCTGTTTGCCCACTTCTGAATGTCAGACATTTCTGAAACTGGACCACATCCTTCCTTTTTGCACCAGCAATGAATTAGCCAGGCTGTGAGGTCTAGCTTCCACCAATGAGGCAAGAAACAGTTACCACCTGAGTCAGAATAAAAACTAAGTGAACTTCCTGCTCCAATGTGCTTGCTCACTCAGTTTGGGTCATCTTGAACCCTTTTGCTGAAGTAAATTACCTACAGAGTTGCCTGTGTTGTTTCTTGGTGAAATTCTGGGAATATTTTTTCCTAGTAGACGAGGCAATTCTAAAACCATAATATGTTTCACAGGGACCAGAAAGTTCAAATATAGGCACTGGCAAGTTTGGTTCACTGGTAAGATCAAGACCTGCATTTTCTACAGAGCAGAAGTGCTGGGTTGTCACATGACAGGAAGTTGATAGACTGGAGAGCCACAAAGCTGTGTGAAGTCTCCTTTAGAAGGGGCTTAGTCCCAGTCATAAGAAGAAAAGCTCTTAGACTGTAATGCTCTTTTTAAAAAATCCTATCTTAGGGCTGGGGAAATGGCTCAGGGAGTAAAATTCTTGCTATGCAAGCATGAGAACCTAAGTTCAGATCCCCAGCACTCATGTAAAACAGCTTGCCATGGTAGTACATATCTGTAACCTTAGGGCTAGGAGGTGTGGACAGGTAATTCTTGGGGCCTCATTGGTCAGCCAGCCCAATTGAAAGAGCAATCACCAAGTTCAGTGAGAGACCCTGTTTCAAAATTAAGATGGAGAATGATAGATGATATTCCCAAACTAAGCTTAGACAGCCACATGTGCCTACACAGGCAATCATGCCTAAAATCATGCATATACCATTTGAATAAGTAAATAAGTCAGTAAAAGAGTCCCACCTCCTAATAACATCATGCTGACCATTAATTTTCTCTACTTGAATTTACAAATGGACACAAATGTATAAATATGCACATATATTCATGTTTATATACATATTTACTTGAATAAATACTTAATATTCTTTTCATATCATTTGTATTTGTTCCTTATGAATGTAAACATATATTAGACCAGTGCTTGGCTGGTATCTATCAGACATTCATGACTTTTATTTATTATAATTGTGTATATTATATTATTTGATTTTTCCCACATGTTTTAAGAAACAATGATTTGAATATTTAGTGCCTGGATGATTTTCAAAGCACATGGCTCTGCTTCTACTTAGTGTTTAAATGGATGGTCATCTTAAATACATTTCTTTCAAATTCTTCTTAAAAATCTTTTTGGAAGGACGGAGTAATGCCACTAATCAGGACTATCAGAAACATGTCTTTTTGACTGCACTTCTTCTTCTCCCCATATTCTAAAGCATATCCTGGGACAAGGCAGGGTCATTCATGGTCCACTCCTGCATGGAGTTGAGTTTGGGTATTGTGCCATTAATTTCCATAGAATAGCTTTAAAGAAATATTGATCAAAATTCAGTGTGGTGCTTACTGGGCAGGAAGCAGCAAGAGCACATCTGCTAAAGTCGCTCAGCTCTGCTGTAGCCCAGCAATGTCACTAAACTTCACACATTTTAGTTACTTCTTAAAGGTTTATTTTATTTTAAAGTATTTGGTAGGATATTCAATTCTTTGGTTGTCTATGGCATTTCTGACTAAATGTGTGCGTTGGCTCCAGTTTAGATAATAATTATGAAAGTCATCAACGAAGAAGAAAATACTTTGGCTGAACAAATGAATTCATAGAGGATATTCATTCATTATTAACTGACAAGAGTGAATGTGTTGCTTGTTTCCCAGAAAACTCAAGAATGAAAATGGAAAACAGATTGGATTGTTTGGAGGGCATAGATAAATCTTTGCTTGCTCAGATCCTCAAAAGTCCTATTGCCATTTGGGTGTCTTGTGGTGAACCATTTCTGCCCCTAAATGGTAAGGTTTTTGGTTTTTGCTTCTTTCTAGACAGTATATAAAGAGAGAGAGAGAAGTAAGTTTTATGTCATGAGAAAATGAATTAAGTGTGTATAATGTCACCATAATAATACTGTATTTATACAGAGAGACCATCAGTCAATTAATACATGTGCAAAGATAGCTGTATGCACATATTTGCACAATTGCTTGTTTTCCTCTTACTGGAATGGATTGTTCTACATGGAGAAGTGTCTAATTTAGTTGATAAAGAGATGCTTGGTCTATAAGGCTGAGAATAATGGTATCCATTAGAAAATAACAAATGAGTTTAATTCACACTGAAGACGACCTGTCTGCACATTTTCATTTTTAAGAATTGCACCCTTTAGGCAGTAGGTGGATGTTTAAAAAAAATGAATGGTCCCAAGCTAGGCTTTCATCACCTAGGAACAGTTGGTGGAAGCAGAAAATGAAATATGGCTATTACATATGGTAAATCTATACAATAAAGCAGTTTTGATCTCCTTCCTGGCCCACCTCTGTTCCATACAGAAATGCCCTAAGCTTTCTCATCTTTCAAACAAAATTTATTTTAACAGCCCTTATCTCTTTTAATTATATCTTTCTAAATCAATCTATCACTTGAATCAGAAAGTTCTTTGTAAGTTATTGGTACCTATGATAAATTACTCTTGATAACAGAGCACCAAGCAAAACATTGTTTCTTTACTGTAGCTCCACAGAAATCAGAAAAATTAAAGAAACAAAACTGGCTGAAAAGGAATCAAATTTTGGCTGATTTAGACACCATGAGACACAAGATGCGGCAGTTGAAAGGTCAGTGTGGATGAAGCTAGTCATTGTGTTTAATCCCAAATATAGCAACAGTTACCAATGATTATTTTCTGCTGCTTGATACCAAATAGCCAGTGCACGCTACATAAACATTATGCTATATAAATTATAACAAGGTGTAAAATCTAATAGCATAGCCATTTAGTGCTGATTTTATATCTGTACATTTTATATAAAAAAGGAATACCCCATGACTTGCATATACACCAAAAAAATAAGGGTTGTCTGTCCTTGCCTCTGAAATATTCTCTTAACTGGCACTGTAGAAATTTTAGAAATAAAGAGAAAAAGACCTGGACATTTAAACAAAATCTTGCTCTTATTCCTTGGTATTGTGTTGCTGGGGAATAAAGTTTATTCATGGGACATTTTTCATTTTAGCACTTAGAACAGAGACATATTGAAATCTTCAAGGTCATGGTCAGTGAGCCAAGGACACTCTTAATATAGCATCAGATACACATTTTATACTCAAAATTACCAGTGGGCATTGCATGTCCTCTTCCATTGTTCTTCTCACAGAATCTTAGGTTCCTGACTTTATACTATTCCAAGTTCTTGAGATGCAGGTGACTGTACAAAGAGAATCAGTGTCCTATGGACTTAAGTCTAGGGAGGAATGCATTTCAATAATTGTAATCACAGAATTTTGTCTCCTGATTATAAATGTTGGTTTATGTCCCAAGCTTATGAATCTTGCTTCAACAACAGCACACATAGTTCTCAATGTAAAAGGCAACTCTGGCTTTAGGATAGTCAATGTCCATTCCTTACCTAAGGAATGGTTCTAGCTATGAGCAAAAGCATTGATGACTACTCCAAATGTCTGCTGTTCCTACTACTAGACATTGCATGTTCCAGGGACAAGCATAAACTCAAGCTGTCATGTCATCCAAATGCCAATGCCTCTGTCTCCTCAACCAGTAGTTCTACCACCATCCACCCAGGCATCCTCTAACAGGAACTTGCAAGTCATTTTTGTTATTACCCCATCTCTTTACTTCCCAAAGAGAGTCTTTAAAAATCTTGTCCCCTGAGTTACAGTGAGGACTAATAAATTCCAACCCCCTTAAGTCTCTGCATTGGTTAGTTTCTGTCAACTTGACAAAAAGTACAGTCACCAGAAAGAAGGAACTCAACTGAGGAATTGTCTCCATCAGATGGGCCTATAGGTATGTCTGTGGGGCAATTTCTTGATTAGTGACTGATGCCTGAGGGCCTGGCCCACTGTGGACTATGCCACCCCTGGATAGGTGTTCCTGAATTTTATAATAAAACAAGCTTAACAAGCCACAGGGAGAAAGCCAGCAAGCAGCATTTCTCTGTGGTTATTGCTTCAGCCGTCTGCCTTGATTTCCTGCCTTGTTTTCCCTCTAGAAGACTATAGCCTGTAAGCCATATAAGCCCTTTCCTCCCCAAGTTGCTTCTGACCAGTGTTTTATCATGGTGATGGAAAAGCGAACTGCAAGAGTCCCCACTGCCCTTATTCAAATTCCAGAACAGCATCTACTGATTGGGTTAGAGCAATTCCTAACTGGTCTCCAGGCTTCAAGTCTTGACTGCATCCATTTGATAGTTACCAGCCCTGCTCATGCTTTTGTTTAAAAAAAAATGATCTGTTTTCCCACTCACAGTTGGGGAACCAATAATAATACTGAACACCGATTCATAACTGAAGAGACTTTCATTCTTAACCAAGAACCTGAGAAATGGGAGATAAACCTCAAATAAATTCTTAACCCTTGAAGTTGGGAAGTGACTGATAGAATAAGATAAATGAAGGCAGGTATGAGGTAGGGAGTACAGCTACTAATGGAAAATATTCTGTCTTTTCTGGGAACCAGCAAAGACTTTCCTGTAATTCAGGCATCACTTCTTTTCCCTCCTATGATTCCTTCAGGTTGTCACCATAGCAACTATCAACTGTATGGCCACAAAAAGGGTGTCTTTTAGCATGCAGATGGGATTATAATAAAGTCAGAGATTGAATGGAAGGGCCACTATGACAGCTATCAATTTCATAAGCTCTGATTTAAAAAAAAGAATTTGCAGCATACAGCTATACATACATACCATCCTCAAAGATAATCAAGATTATGGTGGGTTAACAGTCAGACTGTCAACTCAGTACTCAGGCAATATGAGCAAGAGTGAGACTCTAGAGTTGAAACAATCATGTAAAAATACAAAGGTGTTAAGGTATCCCATATATAAGAACTGCTGAGGCTCCCCATGCCCTTAGAAGCAAGGCTGGACCTTCTTCACATAGACACCCATGATCCCACTGTCTGTAAGATCTTCTGTTTCTTTGCTCACCCCACCCATGAATTTTCTTTAGCACCCTAGGCTTACCATATGCTTTTAGATTTTCCTTCTGCTTCAAGTTTTCTCCCTTTGGCCCTCTTGGATTCTCATTCCTTGTTATTGCTATGTCTTCATTCCCAGGGCTTTCCCTGCCCCACCATATCTTGAACTCCACCCCCATGGCCCTCAAGATATTATGGTAATTATTTGTTCATAGGACTATCCACTTAGATGAGAAATGTTACACCCTTTTTAATATGTTCCTGACTAGTTGTAGAATGATTGAAAAAATGAATGGAATTTCAATACATTCACTTCAGGGAATTTTCCAAGCTTCATTTTTTTAATTGACTTAAATCAGTAGAAAGCAACATACTGAAAACAGCATCCGGCAAAATTGCCTTTCCTGAATTCTGGCTTTACATCATGCCTTCAACTTTTACTATAATTTGCAAAAAGATATTTAAATGTAATTTGGTATCATCCACAGCACCAACACTGAAACAGTCTATATTTGGTTAGTGAATGTCCATTATGGAGTTATCCACACATGAATCTTCTTTTCAGAGTCAATGCTAATTCTTGTCTTACTTAAAAACTGGTGTGTGTTCTCCTGCTACACATAATTTAATGCATAATTATATGCCTTACTGTGATTAAAACCATATACTAGCTAAAGGGATTATCAGAATAAATAGTAACCAATCCTAGCTCAGGTAACTGCAGGTTCTATTAGATGTTCTCTCCCTCCACCTCT